TGGTGCTCACTAAGTCTACTTCTTTGGTGTCACTTGTGGATGTGTAGAGTTGTAATATGGTAAAGTCTGAAGCTGTCCACCAGGTTCACTGGCTCTAGGGCCTCCCAGGAGATACAATAAGCTGCTTCCTGGGGCCACCCTTCAGAAGCTACAGAACCATCTGCAGATGGCTGCTACTTGTATTGAGCTTGGACCTGCTCAGGTGGGGCCAAGCTGTGAACCAAGGCAAGATAATGCTAGTGCCAGGTCTTGGGCCTCTTATTGATAGGTAGGGGGCATTTGATACTAGCTATTGCTATTATAGTTTCAGAGATTTTAGAAAAGTCTGAAGCCTGAACCAGAACAGGCCATTTATATAGAAAAGCCACTGCAAATAATTTGGATGGGCCTGAAAATTGAATAGGGTAGGGTCTTAGGGTGTCACCAGGGCAGAGTGAACAGTGTGAGCCAAGCTGATGGAAACTCAGACATGGCTGCCAATCAGCTCTGCAACAGGGGAGGTCCTAGCACAGGAACATGACCCCTGAAAGCATCCCCATTTCAAGAAAGCTGCCCCTGAGTTCTTTCCCTGATGCCAGGCAATCCAGTTCCTCCATGAATATCCCAGTTTCCTTTTAAGCTCCCATCCCTCTCCATCACTGGAGTCCAGAGTGATCAAATCAGAGTAAGTCCATGTGCTGGCCCTTTAAAAGGGACTGCTGGGACTCCCACGGTCTCTGTTTCATTCAGCTACAATCCCTGATGGCTTTTACAGCCTGAAGTTATGAGGAATTCTCTTCCCAGCTGTAGAACCCTAGCTGAGAGTCTGAGGTGGGACTGGGATCCCTTGCTCCTCACCAGTGGCCTCAACAGCAGAGATATCCCTCCTGATAAAACAACGCCATACATGGGTGTCAGACTAGCTCCTTCCACTCTTCTGATCCTCCTACTAGACTCAATGTACTAGTTGTAAGACTTCCATTCAGCCAGATTTCAGGCAGTGTGGCTGGTATTCTTTCTAAAAGGATAAAACACAAGATTCAGAAACAAAGTCAGTCTCCTGCTACTCTTGTTGTCTATTCAAAAAAGTGCTAAACCACAATCTGTTCTACCAATCTTCTTTCCAGCCATTGGCCTATGATGGGGTTAATTCAAATGTTAAAGCAGTCAGGACCCTTAGAACACAGAAGAATTTTTCCCCAATGAATAACCAATCTCTATTAGCATAACCAGAAGACTACTTAAATAGGGAGGAAGTCCTCCAACCTCTACTTTTTTATCTCATTTGGGGTGTTATGGTGGGCCATCAACCCAGCCATAAAGCTTTCCTCCTTTGAGAAAGGTTCAAAGGAAAGACTCACCACTATTTCTTTAATTTTACTTCAAATGTGCATTGCTTCTAGACACAGACTTCTCTTAATAATTTTGCAAGCATAACATCTTTTTACCAATATATATTGTATTATTTGGAAAATGTTACATTAGTCTTATAATGTGCTCAACAGTCACAGTTTATTAATTTCACCTCTTCCCCCAAGAAAAATGGAGGGGGGCGGGTGGAGTGGAAATGAATGTGAAATATAAATGGTGAAAATCAGGGAGTGTTTAGTAAAGGGAAATGTAGCTGATATTTCTCATTTTTCAGAGACTGAGGCTGAGGCTCAGGGATGGAGTTATTTACCTGGCTATAGGCTAGTTAGTGATAGATCAGAATCAAGAGTTTCCACTCCACAAATGTTGTGCCAGCATTGTTGACAAATTCTAAGTCTCAGGCAGATGTAGAGCATCCTATCCCCCAACACCATCACAATGTCAACTTTCATTGCCCCAAAGAATCATTTGCATCAGTTAAAGCATTACCAGGCCTAAAGAAGAGAGGTCTACTAGCACACCAGTGAAATAAGGTCACAGCCCAGGAGTTAATGCTCCCCTCTTGAGCCTGGTCTGCATTTTCTCTCAGCTGGACCAGAACAGGAAGAACAGACTGGAGGAGAGCCAAGGCCCCGTTTTCTTCTTTGTGTCAAGAGCTAGAGGACTGTTCAGTTCCTTCCTCTGGGAAGAGCTGCTGTATTTTTTATTTTTTTATTTTTACTGGCTTTTAAATTGTTCCCTATAGCTGAAACCGTTTGGCTCACTGGATAGAGCGTCGGCCTGTGGACTGAAAGGTCCCAGGTTTGATTCCGGTCAAGGGCATGTATGTACCTTGGTTGCGGGCACATCCCCAGTAGGGGGTGTGCAAGAGGCAACTGATCGATGATTCTCTTTCATCGATGTTTCTAACTCTCTATCCCTCTCTCTTCCTCTCTGTGAAAAATCAATAAAATATATATTTTTAAATAAATAAATAAATTGTTCCCTATAATTACAATAAGCACCAGTTATCATGTGCATGCTGAGTGCCAACCCTGAGCCAGCTTTCCACATATATAATCTCATGTAATGCTCAACAACACCCCTATGAGGTGGGAATATTATTCCCTAAATTTCACAAGTGAAGACTATTAGGCTCAGGAGAGGCTAAGTAACTTCTCCAAGTTCTGAATTCGGGTCTGAATAAGAGCAAAGACCATAGTCTTAACAATTACCCTGAGTTGACTTCTGGAGTTTCTCCAGTGGGCAGACTTTTCTTTTTTATAGTGCTCCTGCAGAGTTCCAGGTCAGCTGCAGGTCACCTTCCTCTCTGAGCACTCCCTTTCCATCCATTTATGAAAATTTGAGTCTATTGTATTTATATTTAAATTTTATGAATAGAATTTGAGATTCAACTTTGAAAAGGTTTATCCATCCTTCAAAATGTGATACTCAAAATCCAAATTCCATAACTGCATGGTTTGTATGTACATTCATTCATGCTAATTTCATCACAGAGTTATCTCATTGGGACCAGAGTGGACCTAACAGTTCCCTGAAACTTCCAAACTGCTATCAGAACCCCTAGAAGAGGGCAAAGGTCCTCAAAACAGCACCCTCTCCAGGAAGAACAAGTTTCCCCATCCTGCCCAAGCAAGCTGGACTTCCAAGCACGGACTGCCCTTATCCCCCTTTAAAAAGCCCATGTTTTCAGTGGTATTCACCCAAACCAAAGGCCAAATGCCATCATTAATAGCCAAAAACGACCAATGGGCTTTGTTTGGTGCCCCCAGCTTCATATAAAGATAGAACTAGAACAGATTGTTTTTGGGAGATTTATTGTGGAGCCATAATGTCTTTGAGTGGGATTAAATGTGACATGCAGCATGCTATAAATCTCCATTACTGTTTAATTAGTAACCACTACATCAGCGTGAGCTTCCTGGAATGCCCATGGTACTAAATTGACTGAGCCCCACAGTAAACTGACTCTCTGTCGATGCTCAAATTCAGCCCCCAAACTCCCACCACTGGTGAGAGTCTGAGTTAGACGTGAGAACCCAGGGGACTGCCATGCCAGGGGTGTATACAAGTGATGTCGACCTTTTCCCTCGAGTTGCCTTCCCCCACTTTCTCCAAGTCCTATCTGACAATTTGTAGATCCTGAAGTTTCAGACTTTATAGAAAGTTGTAAACATCCTAACAATTAAAGGGAATCTTTCATCTGAGCACTGTAATAAATGGTCTCACTTTAAGTTTTTATACCTTCCATTCTCCTGAATACATAGGTGATCCCTCTCTATGTGTACAGGCCATCACAATTTTGGGTAAAAAGGTAAAGATTAGGAGCTATTCATATGGTACATATGACAAGAAGAGCTCGAGGGAAGATGCGCTAATGAGAAAGCAGGTGTGTGCAAATGAGGCAAATGATCAATCTCCAAGAATGTTTGGAGTATCAGTGTTTGGATTTATGTCAGCAGAGGACTTTGGCCTGCCCACAAGAGGACGAGGGGGTACCAGGGACCTCCCATTTAAGGTCAACTTTTGGGGGGAAAAAACAAACAAACAAACAAACAAACAAAAACAAAAACAGGAAGATAACGCTTACTTTTGCCTGAATTGTTGAGATAATTGCCACAATACTGGTTTTCCCTGGTTCTGTGGCATGTATAACAGGCAATATATGTCACTGTCAGACCAGAATGCTGTTTCTACCATCACATGGCATGCCCTGAGGCCCCAGTTAGTTTCACATCAAAACTTAAAGGTTAATTCTGTTAAAAAGTCAACCAGGTGAGGTTTTTCAGGTGCAAATTTATGCACAGTCATGACACATGTCTCCACACTTTATGGATTACTAATTCTGTGGTTCATGGGAACTCTAAAGAATCATAGCTGAGTGCTATGAATACAGTTATCAAAAACATTGTCTCATGCAGTAGGAGGAGCTCAGGCTTCCTGGAATGGTGCCCACCTCTAAAACTCTGACCACACCCTGAAGATCTCAGCCTTGCCTTAGATGCTGCCACTCAAGCTCTCCCCCCAACCCCCCACCCCCAGCTCTAAAAATACAGATGATGTCTTCTACTGGGGGCAACACACTCTTAAGCTGGGGCTTGCCCCAAGCAAAGTCTGCACTGGAGAGAAAAAGGCCATATTTGATTGTAAGCACCCTGAAGGCAGGACTGTGTCTCATGGATGAGGCAGCAATGAGCATCTCACACTCAGTCCTCCCACAAGGCCATGCCTGCAAATTGTGCTCAGAACTCTTTACTGAGTGTTGAATGAATGCATGCTTTCTCCCTGCCCCCGGAGGCAGAGCCGCAATGTGTGTTTACTCTCCTACACACTGTCAGTTTCATAGGTATACCATCAGCACTCACTACAGGCCCAACACCATCCCGCTGGGCAGGCAGGTCCAGTGGGACCCTCAGTCGTACTGTGCCCCATCTGCTGAGTCCCAGCATAGGTGCTCCCCAGCATGCGTTCCACGGGCTCTCTGGCTTCTGGGGGAATAGAAATGCTACTGATCATCTAAATGAATTTATCTTTTTATAAGTGATCTGAAGACAGAATTGGCTCCTGTGAAATCACCTACATCCCTTTAAAAAGTAATGCTTGTGTTCCTTTTTAAGCCAAAAATTGGGACTGTTTTTGTTTTTCCCTAGGAAAACCTCTTTTTTGTGATGGAATTTCTCAATGGAGGAGACTTGATGTACCACATCCAGAGCTGCCACAAGTTTGACCTTTGCAGAGCAACGTAAGAGCTCTTCGAAGGGTCTGGCGTTTTCCACTGTTTGTGGCAGGTTCTATGCCCCCACAAAAACCCACAGAATCCTCCCTCCTTCTCTGTGGCGTTTTTGTTTCCTCACCCAGCACACTTACCTCCCAGGACAAGTTACCCCCAAGAATTTATCATACCAGGCAACCATGTTCCTAGTTTGTGAAGCTTACATTCTTGTCAGTGTTGTTTCATTTCTCTGTGTTTTGAAATCAACTGTGTAGTTTCTCAAGGAGATGCCCCAGTTCCTCAGGCTTCTAGATGATGTGAGCATGGAAGAAAACGTTTGACCTTTGGGGGGGAAAAAAAAAGGCAATCCAGTGGAGCACAGCTTTTAAAGGCACCACAGGATAAAGCTTCAGCTGAGGCCTTTCGTGGAAAGGTCAATGCAAAGCCATAAAGCATGTGGCTCCGAGCATGAGAATTCAGAAACCGGGAGGGGCCCTAAGTCTGAGAATAAACCTTCACCTTCGTGGGCAGCCCTCAATGTAAGCAAGTCAAACAGGTTGCCTACACCCATGGGGACTGCAGCTGAGGATCCCCTTCCACTCCCACCCCTCCCCCGGCCCCCATGGTCCCTCTTTCCTGAATGGTCAAGCCACTGAGCCATTTTTTTTTTTTTAATAGTGTCACCAGGCCCATTTTCAAATGCTGGATACAGACTTATTTCTCTTCTTTTTTAAAAACATATTTTTATTTATTTCAGAGAGGGAGGGAGAGGAAGAAAGGAGCTAGAAATATCAATGATAAAAGAGAATCATTGATCGGCTGCCTCCTGACTGGAGATCGAGCCCACAACCTGGGCATGTGCCCTGACTGGGAATCGAACCATGACTTCCTGGTTCATAGGTGGATGTTCAACCCCTGAGCCATGCCGGCCAGGCAGACTGCCCGTATTTCTTCAATAATCTTTCACTGGCTCCTAATGAGTGCTTTGAGCAGTGGTGTGTGTACCGGATTGATATATGGACTTATTCCTGGCTCCTGCAGAAGCCTTGCTGAGATTCATACCACTGATCTCGTGGCCTCCAGGAGCCATCAGCACACTGCCCAGAGATCATTGTAAGGGATAGCCACTGCAGAGAAACCATCAGGCATTTTTCGTGCTGGAGAGGATCCACTCAGTCCAGCACCCTTCCCAGTTTTGTAAGGCCTGAGAACCATCAAACACCTGCTACCCATGTTATCCAGCATGATTGAGCATCGACCTATGAACCAGAAGGTCACAGTTCAGCGTATGACTGGATGCTGGCTATGTCCCTGGTGGAGGACGTGCGGGAGGCAGCCATCAATGATTCTCTCTCATCATTGATGTTTCTATCTCTCCCTCTCCCTTCCTCTCTGAAATCAATAAAAATATTTTATAATAAAAGGGAAAATTACTTTCCTATCATACTATACAATTGCATTTAATGTTTATGTATGTTCTGTTGGGGGAAAAGGGGGCAGTTTGAGTATTGTCGTCCAAAATGTAAGAATGAGCACCAGCTGCAGGGAGGGCTAACTTAGGAAACCAGCTCTGCTTCATTCTCTCGGGGAGGATATCTTCCTTTTGTTCAGATGAAACAAAATGATGTGTGTACACAGATAAATTGTGTTCCTACAAAGGTGTGTGTACATTAGGCAGAGGGCTGCACAGAGTACTCATGGGGTAAAATGGGGTTTATTTTATCCTGTTAATAACTTGGTGGTGAACTGATTTTTCTCCCCTCAGGTTTTATGCTGCTGAAATCATTCTTGGTCTGCAGTTCCTCCATTCCAAAGGCATTGTCTACAGGTAAGTGTTACCTGTTCAGACACACTGAAATATCTGTATTTCATGATCCAGTTAATGCGGTCGATGTGCTTCAGTGTCATGAAATGCCCAGGGTGTTTTTGTGGCCCAAAGTTTCACCCCCAGCTTCCTGCTCATGGTGATAACACTGATTTAACAGCAACCAAGTGAGGAATTCCAGTCTCCAAAGCAATAAGGTTCTGACCTTATTTTGTTCTTTATTCCAATCCTTACTGTTATTCTTCTTCTCACCTCCATTTTTCTCGTTTCCTTCCCATACTCTGCTTTCTTTCTCTTTGCTATCTTGTTGCTTTCTCACTTCTGTCTCCTGCATGTCTTGTCTTTGCCTGTATTTGCTTTGGGCCACCTAGAAATGTTGACTGAATGCCCTCCTTTTGGGTGGGGGAAGCAGGGAGCTCTCCCCTGAACACTCAAGCACACCTAAGGAAACTTATAAGCCTACACCTTGTAGAATTGCACAGACTATCACGTGTACCCTCTTTTGTGAATGGATGTCCTAAATTTCTTCATCATACACCATCGTTTCACCCTTCTTGGATGAAAGCTACTGCACTTCAATCCCCTTACTTCCTTTCTCAAAACATAATTGACGCTTACTTGGCATACAAATCTTCAAAAGTTCAGTTGTCTGCTTTCTGACTCACTGCAAATTAAGCAGGGATTAAAAACTGAAAAGAAGGGGGCTAGATGAAAGCTGACCAACAAGCTGGAGGCCAGCACAGCCACACAGGGAGAAGGGGCAGTTGAGAACCTGCCACAAAGAGAAGATGAAGGACAACTAAAAGGGCCCAGAAGAGTGGGCTTCTGGGCTCTTCTGAGGAAATTGCACAGTCCTGACCAGGAATTCTCTGTAAGGGTTCAGGGACGGCCCATACCGACTGTTGATGACAGCAGCTCTGTGTCACCTGGTCCAGAACCTCTCCCTTGGGAATGGTCAGTAATGAGCTGCAGTGCTTACAGGGCAGGCTGACAATCCAGGAAGTCTCCCCATTTCAAAGGGGGCAGCCAGGAGAGGACTGCCCTAGTTAGAGTAATGAGACCACCCTCATAGGACAATTCTATCCTAACAGCATTGTAATAATTGAAACGAGGTTTTGCTATGCTTTTGTTTTTCAGAGACCTGAAGCTAGATAATATCCTGCTAGACAAAGATGGGCATATCAAGATAGCGGACTTTGGAATGTGCAAGGAGAACATGCTAGGAGATGCCAAGACAAACACTTTCTGCGGGACCCCTGACTACATCGCCCCAGAGGTAGGGATGTGCAGTGCCCCTTCCCAACCCAGCACAACCAGGCCAAGTACCACTGCTTCTTCCTCCCTGAAAATCATAAGACTTTAAGTATTCTGGTTGAGGATTGGAATTTGTTTTTATTATTGCATGATTATGGCTGCACATAAGGGGCTGCTGTTATTCTTTTATTAGGTCTAGTAATAATTAATGTCGTTTTCTAATACTTTTTTAAATCGAATTTATTTAAACAATACAGCAAAATTTAATCAACAATATAGTTGCCGTTGTTTTCTACTACTTGTGCCCAATGCTCAGGAAGTATTTTAATCCCTCTGTTGTAAAATTCTTGTGATTTTGAAACAAAAAATTCGGTCAATGCATTTTTGAGGCATTCTTCATTATTAAATTTTTTTCCAAGAAGAAAGCTTTGCAAAGAACAAAACAAATGGTAATCGGAAGGGGCAATATCAGGAGAATATGCAGGTTGAGGGAGAACTTCCCATTCCAACTGGCGCAGTTTTTCAGCAGTGATTCTTGCAGTATGCGGTCGTGCGTTATCGTGGTGAAGAATTACGCCCTTCCGATTAATCAGCACGGGTACTTTTTCTCTTAAAGCTTGGGCTAACCTTTCCAATTGGGCACTATACACTGCACTTGTAATGGTTTGGTTAGATGGTAAAAGTTCATAATGAAGAATTCCTTTAAAATTCCACCAAACACACATCATCACTTTTTTCGCATGCAAGTCAGGTTTTGGCATGGGCTGCGGAGCCTCATTTTTGTCCAACCATTGAGGCCGCCTTTTCAAATTAACATACAGCACCCATTCTTCATCTCCGGTAACAATTTGCTCTAAAAACGGCAAACGGTTTTGACGAGAGAGGAGCGAACTGCAAATTGTGACTCTTTGATTACGGTTGTTGTCGGTCAACTCATGAGGAACCCATTTTCCAAACTTTTGGACTTTGCCAAGTGCACACAATTGATTGGAAATTGTTTTTTGTGAACAATTTAAAGTTGTCGCAAGCTCTTGTTGGGTAATTTGAGGATTTTGCACCAAAAGAGCTTAAAGAGCTTCTTGATCAAAATTGGACACACGGCCTCGACCACTCTTGTCATCTAACGAAAAATTTCCCAAGTGAAATTTCTCAAACCAACGCTGGCATTTTCTGGCGCTAACTGCATCTTGACCAAGAGCACTACAGATGTTTTTTGCAGCCTCACTTGCTTTTCTTTCTAACTGGAACTCGTAAAGCATGCAGTGCCGAATATGCTCTTCATCCGCCATCTTCGTAGCCCTAGTTTTGCAACAAAAACCAAACCAAACACAAACTTTTTCAAGCAAAACTTGTTAATTGCACTTCACATGTTCTGTAGATACCACGTGTTTGAAGGTTATGTCAATACAAGTCAATGCCAAGCAAGATTTTAAACGAATGTTAAAAAACAACATTAATTATTACTAGACCCGATACTAGAAGCCTGATACATGAAAATTCATGCACTGGAGGGGGGTGTCCCTCAGCCCGTCCTGCCCCCTCTTACAGTCCAGGAGCCCTCAGGGTTGGGAGGCTACCTGGCGATCAGGGGAATGCAAAGTCCCCACCACATCTCTGCTGCTGCCACTGCCAGCAGCGCAAACCTCAGCTGGCCCTGGTTACTTGAGCCTCAGATGCCTGGGCTGGGCAGCGCCATCCAAGGCTTGCCTGCACCTCAGGCCAGCTCTGGGAGGCTGGGGAGCTGAGGGGACTGGAAACTCTGGAGGAAGGAGTGCGGAACAGCTGGGCCTGCCTTGGAGTGGGCCCAGCCATGCCATGCACCTGCTGCCCTGGTGGGACTGAGGGGACTGGGCACCACCATCTTGTGGCTATGAGCACTGCCATCTTTGAGGGCATGGCAGTCAATTAACATATTCCCTCATTATTGGCCTTGAGTGCTACCATTTTGTGAGGGTTTGGCAGTCAACTAGCATATTTTCTCTTTATTTTATAGGATGAGGGATGGTACTCATGTTACTTAGGTCATCTCTCCAAGTCTTGAGTGATACAGCATATCCTTTCAGTCATGGCCCCTCCCCACCCCAGTACTAAAATATCTTCACTCTGCTCAAACCCACCAGAGATGAAATAGTTTTAAATAACTAAATTTTGCCGAAACTGCTTTGGCTCAGTGGATAGAGCTTCGGTCTGCGGACTAAAAAGTCCCAGGTTCGATTCCGGTCAAGGGCATGGTTGCGGGCACATCCCCAGTAGGGGGTGTGCAAGAGGCAACTGGTCGATGTTTCTCTCTCATCGACGTTTCTAGCTCTCTATCCTCTCCCTTCCTCTCTGTGAAAAATCAATAAAAAATATTTTAAAAATAACTAAATTTTATTAGAGTTATTAACAGTACAAACCTATTTATGCTTCATTAAAATATTGGGATTAAATAACAAAAAGATCAGACTTCAGATCATAATTTTCAACACATGTAACCTCCCTCCATCCAATCACTTCTCTTGTTGGGGATAACAGGACCTACCTCAGAGGTTCTTATAGATAAAATAAAACACATTCTATGTGGAAAACCCTAACACAGATCAGGAAGCATTTGCAGACATTCTGTTTTAACAGTATGTAATTGAGTAGGAATCTACATTTTTCTTCCTCCTAACTGAAATTCTTTATTAACATCACCTAGCCTTAAATGACTTAATTTCCACCACAGCTGTCTCCTGTTCTGCAAATTTCTTTTCATTTTTCCTGCCAAATGAAGTTGTTTACAAAAATGTGATATTCAAGCAGTTTCTGATTGCTTGGGGCTCCCCCTTGTGGCACATCCTAGGAATTGCGTGTGAACTGGTCACTGAAGGCAAACTACTGAATTGATTGTGCGTGTCTTTATTTACCTTATCATTCCTCATGAGTCTACTTTTAAACTTCTCCTTAAGACAAAGTTTATTTTTAAAGTTAACTTTAAAATTTAGGCCCATCCATCCTTGCTCAGTGGTTGAGCATCGAACTATAAACCAGCAGGTCACGGTTCAATTCCTGGTCAGGGCATATACCAGGGTTGTGGGCTAGATCCCCAGTGTGGGGTGTACAGGAAACAGCTGCTCAATGATTCTCTCTCGTCAGTGGTATTTCTATCCCTCTCTACCTCTCTCTTCCTCTCTGAAATCAATAAAAATGTATATTTTTAAATGTGTAAATAAAGTGAAATTTAGTATTTTAACATTGAGTTAAGGCTAGTGGATAGCGTTTTTATACTGGAAGTCAATAGCAGATTGCAAATTTCTGTTTGCAACTTGATCTTTATTTTCACAAGTGTTCATCAAGACAGATGTTTACCATGTAGCATCTAGTCATTTACACATGACAAAACACTTTGTCTTTTCTATTTTTCATGGAGCCTCACAACAACACAATGATAAACTAGAGGACTAAGGCAGAAATAGAACCTGCAGTGTGTAGTATGGCCTTCACAACTATTTTCTTGTTGTTGTTTGTTTAGCAAGTCTTATATTAGAGACACTTTCACAGTATTCCTGAGCCTCACTCCCAGCTGTCTGAGGTCAGATAGGGCTCAGAGATGTGTGCTATGCACATTATTTTCTGCATCAAAAGTTCACCAGCAACAAGACATAAAGCTGACCTAGAAAATACTATGATGACTAGAACTATAGTGTCATTTTTCTTTCCTGGGCTCATCAGTGCTACAATTCTACCTTTCATTCCAAAGGCCCATTTTCAAAGGGGGAAATTAAATTTCAAATGAGGAATGCTATAATAAAATGACCTCTGTGTGTTTGTGTGTATACTCACACAACTTAGCTAAGCCTTACATTGCAGTATGAAATGAAGGTTCCAGTCTTGCTTTTTAATTTAGTACTTCAGTACTAGTATGCCTTCTCCATTTTGCTTTGGGTAATAAAGCAGCTTCCCCCAAACCATCCTGGCAGCTTGCATCATGAAAGATAGGATGTTCTCCTCCCCATTTAAAATTAGAGAGAGAGGAAGGAAGAGAGAGACATCAATGTGACATTGATCCACTGCCTCCTGCACACCCCGTACCAGAGATTGAGCCCACAACCGGGGCATGTGCCCTGATGGGGAATCAAACCAGCATACCACACACACACACACACACACACACACACACACACACCATGCATGGGACATGCCCAACCAACTGAGCCACCCAGCCAGTGCTATGTATTTTAATTGTGGTAAAATACATGTACCATAAAGTATACCAGCTTAACCATTTTTTATTTTTTTTTAAATATATTTTATTGATTTTGTACAGAGAGGAAGGGAGAGAGATAGCGAGTTAGAAACATCGACGAGAGAGAGTCATCAATCAGCTGCCTCTTGCACACCCCCTACTGGAGATGTGCCCGCAACCAAGGTACATGCCCTTGACTGGAATCGAACCCGGGACCCTTCAGTCCCCAAGCCGATGCTCTATCCATTGAGCCAAACCGGTTTCGGCCAGCTTAACCATTTTTAAGAGTACAATCAGTAGTGTTAAGTACAATCACATTGTTGTGCAACTAATCTCCAGAACTTTTTCATCTTGTACAACTGAAACTCTATACCCATTAAACAACAATTCCCCATTTCCCCCAGCCCCTAGAAACTATTGTTCCATTTCTGTCTCTGTGACATTGACTACTCTAAGTACCTCATATAAGTGGAATGGTACAATATTTGTCCTTTGTTACTGACTTATTTCACTTAGCACAATATCCTCAAGGTTCGCCCATGTTGTATCATGTGTCAGGATTTCTTTCCTTTGTAAGGTTGAATAATATTCTAGTGTGTGTATAGACTACACTGTATTTATTTATTCCCTCACTGATGGGCCCTACGTACAATATTATTTTAGAGGAGGTTACAGCATGGTTTGTTGGGATGAAAAGCACTGAGTAGAGTGACATGTGCACTCTCTATGTTTCAACATTAAAAAGGAAACTGCTGAAAGGCCTGAGTACAAAGAAAACTGAGCAAGAAAGTGGACTGGTGAAATCCTTTTTAAAATTAGATAGGATTCCAGACTTTAAATCCACTACCTTTAAGAATAGACCAGACCAGTTCTACTCAAAGCACCAATATCAAGGTGTACATGGTGCTTACATCCAATATCTATATTTATATTTGAATAAGTTGGTATCCTAGTCTGTTTCTTGGCATAGTCACAAATTTTTACTCTCTTAGTTGTGAGCCACGACTAGTTAGGATTTAAGGAATTGACTTGTTCAGATGACCTCTCTCGATGCTTGGTCACCTACAGAAACTTTATGCAAAGATGCAGGACAGTAGAATACATAGGTTTGGTTTAGATAATCACCTCAGAGGCACTGTAGAGCTGGGATAGATATCAGCAGATGGAAATGAAGGCTAATGGCACACATAATTTAGTTATTTCACTTAAGGCCAGAGGAAAAGTAGAAATTGAAACTCAAAAAGTGTTTGCTCAGTTTTAGATTGCCTACTCATTTGTATCCAATCATTAGCTTCCCAAAATATACCATTTTCAGTGTGGTCTTTCTTTAAACCACATACTACTGTCATCACCATCAATTATTTACTGAGTGGCCTTGAAAAAGCCAATAAAAGGTATTCACTCATCAACCTTACTTTTATTAATTTTTGGCTACACAGATCTTGCTGGGTCAGAAATACAACCATTCTGTTGACTGGTGGTCCTTTGGTGTCCTCCTCTATGAAATGCTGATTGGTCAGTCACCTTTCCACGGGCAAGATGAAGAAGAGCTCTTCCACTCCATCCGCATGGACAACCCCTTTTACCCCCGATGGCTGGAGAAGGAGGCTAAGGACCTTCTAGTGAAGGTAAGAAATGAAGTCAAGGTTAGTATTGGGTTTTCTAATCAGTATTCCCATTCACTTCTAAGCTCAGATTTATACCTGATAGTAAACAATAATTGTCTTGAACTGAATGTAAATCTTAACTGAGGCACCAATGTGCTGGAGATTAGACAGCAATAAACCCTTATGGGCATAATTTACAAGAAGAAATTACCAGGGACCAGTTCCATGACTCTTGGTTGCCCTCACTTGGAACTGTGATTAGTCCATTGAACAAGTACAATTTGTGGCTTAAAACTCAACTTTTTCCTCCCCATTGTCCCTATTAAATCTATTCAGTACAGTCCATCTTCCCCCACTCCTGATGGAAAACTTACACAGGATGCATGACTTTCCTGCTCATTCTTAGGTAAAAGATGTAAAACACCATCTCGACTGATAAATTAAAACTGTTCTGCCTAAGACACAAGTCCTCACATCACTATTACCCGAAAGCGAAGACTTCTGCTCCTCTCCTCTGCCCAAGGCCCTGACTGGCAGCTCAGCTTTGGAGAATGGAAAGTGGTCATACTTGTGTTTCTTTGTTCTCTTCCTCTCCAGCTCTGGAATTTCTATTTCAGACCATACCAGGTTAAAAGCAGGGAGAAGGCAGAGGGATAATGAGGAGAAAGAACTGTTCTTATATGGCTGAGTGGCTTGATGCTCTCCCAGTTTGGTGGCTTGTTAAAGCCAAGACTTCAGTGATGCTTTCTAGTGGATTTTTGGAAATCCCTACCACTGGGGACATTTCTGGCTGAAGCTTTTGAGATGCAGGCTATTCAATGCATTCCACAGACCAATTCCTGTATCAAACCCTATTTCAGCAGCACTTCCTCTCCCTGAGACTCTCCTTTGCTGGTGCCTGCTGAGCAGCTCTGAGGCAGACCAGCTCCCTGCCACACCCCCAACCTGTGTCCACTGGAAATACTAGCATTAATGCATTTTTCACCCTAACACTTTTAAGAGTGCAGGCTGTCACCATCTTAGCAGCAATCTTCAGAATTCACCATCAACACAGGAGTTAGACCCCCATCCGTGATAGCCCAGGATCAATTAAGAATCAGTGGACAACCTGGCTGCCATGGCTCAGTAGTTGAGCATTGACCTATGAACCAGGAAGGAATGGTTCAATTCCCTGTCAAGGCACATGCCCAGGTTGTGGGCTGGATCCCCAGTATGGGGCATGCAGGAGGCAGCCGATCAATAATTCTCTCTCATCATTGATTTTCTATCTCTTCCTCTCTCTTTTCCTCATAAATCAATAAAAAATATTTTTTTTTAAAAGACAACTACTTAAAAAAAAGAATCAATGTTCAGTGCTATAGATATAAACTTAGAGAATCACTGGCCATAAACCAAGAGCTCCCAGGACAAACCAATGCACAAACAGAAGCAGCACCTGAAAGCCATCATTAAAGATTTGTATTTTACACAGAGTCCCAGTTCACCTTTTTTGAGGAAACAAGATACTATTTACTGTGTATGACTAACAAGTTGTAAAAGCTAAAACTAAATCATGGCAATACAACATGCTAATTGCATATAATATTAATAATTACCTACACTTAATGAGCTATTCAGAACTATGTAGATCAGAAAGACCTTCTGGTGTGAGGCTAACAAATCCAAAAGAAGTGGATCAAGAATACAGGTGCTTTGAACAAAACAGTGTTTTGATTTCTGGCATCTCAGATCTTAGCTAACTTTTTAAAAATCATTTAAGCCCTAGCTGGTTTAACAGACTGACACTCAGTGGATAGTGTCAGCCTGTGGACTGAGGGGACCTAGGTTCAATTCCAGTCAAGGGCATATACCTGGGTTGTGGGCACAATCTCCAGTAGGGGGTATGCAGGAGGAAGCCAATCAATGCTTCTCTCTCATCAATGATGTTTCTATCTCTCTCTTCCTCTTCCTTCCTCTCTGAAAACAAAAATACATATTCTTAAATCATTTAAGGAAATAATTTTAGCATTGTTTTTCCTATATTGAAAATGGAAATAAGACAAGATCTTTCAACATTAGAAGTTATTAATGAATTTTAAATGTAAACTTAGAAAAAGATTACCATGCCCATCTTTTTCCACTAGTCTACTTTTTTCCCCATGAAGAACTGGGAATTAAATTTAAAGGGCAACACTTCTATCTCTCTCACACAACTGACAGCTTGTTTAAGGTATTTGAAATGTTGAGGCCACTCCTGGGCTCTCCTTGAGGAATCAAGATGTGGAATCTGAAATGCTGGAAAAGTTCCATAACATACTCCCCATCCCCAACCCTGTCCAAGGCTTGAGGTGTTTAAAAGTCTGAGCCAATGCAACTCAGCTTTCACTATTTCTGACTGAGATCCAAACAGTAGTAAACTTAGAAAGCTCCTCAAATGACCAATTAAATTTACTTTTAATGACTGAACAAAACACATATAAAATGAAAACTGATTTCAAAATTAATCAATTTAAAAAAATATGGTGAAAATAAGAGCAAGATTATAATGCAAACAATTTTCTTTACATTAAGACAAGTTCAAATGTTATTACAGTTGCTACATTTATTTTACATTGGGCTTTTTGAAGGACTTAATCTGGCTCAATATCAGTGGGGGGCATACAGGAAGCAGCCAATCAATGATTCTCTCTCATCATTGATGTTTCTATCTCTCCCTCTTCCTTCTTCTCTGAAATCAATAAAAAATATTTTTAAGGAAAGAATGAAATATTGAGATACAAAATAATTTGGATAGGTTTCAAGGGCATTAAGCTGACAAAAAAAAAAGCCAATCTCAAAAGCTTACATACTATATCAGTCCATGTATGTAACATCCTTGAAAGGGTAACATTATAGAAATGGAAATAAGATTAGTATTGGGGTAAGTGGAGGCATGGATATCCCAAGGGAGAACTTTGTATTGACAGGACAGTTCTGTATATTTTTAAAAAAAACAAACATATTTTAATGATTTTTTTACAGAGAGGAAGGGAAAGGATAGAGAACTAGAAACATCAATGGGAGAGAAACATCAATCAGCTGCCTCCTGCATACCCCCTACTGGGGATGTGCCTACAACCAAGGTACATGCCCTTGACTGGAATCAAACCTGGGACCCTTCAGTTTGCAGGCCAACGCTCTATCCACTGAGTCAAATGGGTCAGGGCCAGTTCTGTATTTTGTTTGCTTTCGTGGTTACCAAGATCTACACTTGTGATAAAATGACATAGAACTAGATATACTGTACCATATTGCATCAATGTCTGTTTCCTAGTCTTGATATTGTGCTATAATCATGTAAGATGCAAGCATCAGGGTAAACTAGGTGAAGTATAAACAGAACATCTTTTTAAACTTTATTTTAACACCCTGTGATCTATATGTATAGACTTAATGTGACCCCACAATTCATAAGTTTAAGCTCTAATCCCCCAATATGATGGTTATAAGAGGTATGTGATAACATTGAGGTAAGTAAATAACATGAATATTTATTCCCTCAATGCAAATTCCTATAGCTTATGTAATGGGGAAGGGACCTCCATGATGGCATTAATGCCCTTATAAAAGGAGGAAAGGAGATCTTCCCCACTCAAGTGCATACACCAAAGAAAGGTCATGTTATCACACAGCAAGAAGGTAGCCTTCTATAAGTCAGGAAGAGAACACTTACCAGAAACTGACTATGCTGGCACCTTGATTTTGAACTTCCAGACCCCAGAATTATCCTATATAATAAAAAGCTTATATGCAAAACCACCAAATGATGGAACGACCAGTCACTATGATGTTCACTGACCACCAAGGGCAGATGCTCAATGCAGGTGTTTCCCCCTGGTGGTTAATGCACTTCCACATAAGGAGCCCCACTCAGCCAGATGCTGGGCTTACAGCTGGCGAGCCCAAAGGCAGTGGTGGGAGCCTCTCCCACCACAGCAGTGCTAAGGAGGCCCGATTGCCTGTTTAGGCCTAAGCCATCAGTCAGACATCCCCTGAGGGCTCCCAGACTGGGACAGAGCACAGGTCGTGCTGAGGGACCTCCCTGAGTGCATGAATATCGTGCCTCAGGCCTCTAATGAGAAATAAATGTCTGTCGTTTAAGCCACACAGTTTATGGCATTTTGTTATAGTAGTCCAACCATACTAAGACACTATAATTATTTCAAAATAAAAAGTTTAAAAGCAAAACAAAATCTAAGACTAAATGCCAGCAAATACAAAAAAAGTCTGCAGAGTTTCAGTAGCAAGAAAAAGATTTGCAGCTAGGGTAGAAAGTAAATGTGGTTTAATAGCATAGAAACCAAGACAATGATAAAGAAGGAAATAAAAAGGACTGTTGTTGCAAGAGTATTTAAATCCATGTATTACAGTTTGGGCTTATTCTTTCCTACAAGAGTTAATGAAAATGCCATGCCCTTGCTCCATGGGGAAGGTAGCTCTTGTCCATCTTTTAGCAATTGGGCTGATAAAAATTAATTTCCATCATGCAATTTTCTGACAATAAGACTGGCTTCTAGTTTTTCTATAATTTTTATCCAGCAGCCACCACATTCTTGAGCTCCTTCTTTTGCAAAAACCAAAGGTAATAAATATTTCTGAGAAACTTCCTCTAGGGAATTATACCTAATGTTGTGAAACCCAGGAGCAGTAGGTCTTCGGGAAAAGCTGAACAAAGCAGCATCTAGTGGCATCTGTCACAGTGGCAGTGTCAATGCCAGACTCTATCCCTTTTAACCCTCATAGCACATGGGTGTGTGCAGCACAGGGAGCAACAGCACACAGTGGGGAGGGGAAGCTGCACTCCATAAAGAACTACAGCTGGGACACTGCAGTACAGTTGACCATTGCCAAAGACATGCCTCTTTCTTCCCCATTTATTCATCCAGAATGTCCGGTCCATTTGTTTGGAAAATGATGGAAAACTAATTATCTCAAACAGAAATGCCTCTCCCTTTTGTAAAAAGATATATCTGAGGCATGGACAAAGAGGAAGAGAAGATTCCAGTGACAGGTGCTCAGCACAGGGTGGGCCATCCTTGGCAGCCCAGCACTGCTTTCTTGCCTAAATAGCTGAATTTAAACAAACTCTCACTACATCCTGGCCATTTATATAAACAGTGTGCTGTCTTCTATCAATGTGACAGCTTTTATGAACAAAAGCAAGTATTACTACATGAACATTTATTCCCTCAATTCCAAGTCCTTGCCACAGACCCAGTGACTACCCGTGAGGTCACCAGTCATCTTCAGGACCTGGGAGGAGGAGGAGGGCAGAAAAGATAGTAATTTATTCTTGTGTACAAAACTAGAAAGAATTTTGTGTTGTTTTTTTACAGTTATTAAAAAATATTTTATTGATTTCAGAAAGGCAGGAAGAGAGAGAGAGAGAGAGAGAGAGAGAGAGAGAGAGAGAGAGAGAGAGAGAGAGAGAGAGAAACATCAATGATGAGAGAGAAGCATTGATTAGCTGCCTCCTGCATGCTCCCTACCAGGGATCAAACCATGACCTCCTGTTTCATAAGTCAACACTTACCCACTGAACCACACTAGCTGGGGAGAATTTTGAGTCTTGAAACTGGAGATCATATTATATTCTCATTATACATTTTATCTTTCAAAATATTTTTTTTAATTTCATAGGTACATATAACAGGCTCATGATCCTCTTGGTACAAATGCCACATGTTACTAGAAAAATCAAGTGGAAAACCTAGTATGGTCCACATGTGGCCTCTGGCAGTTACTTCTAACTTAATTCGCTGCAGCATTTAATTATAACAACATGAGCTAGTGCTTGTCCTTTCCTTACGGCATTTGCATCTTCTCTCTAATCTTGTTTCATCAAAATGTCCTTAAGAAGTGGAGGTCAATAATTTATTATGATCATTTCAAGGGAAGATATATAAAGCCAAGTCACTTATTCCCTCGGCTTTAAAAAAAAAAAATCAATTTGCTTTTTCATCTGGTGACTCACACTGGTGTTTGAATCTACAGAAAAATATGTTTTACAGTGAACTTTGAACCTTTTCTATAAGCTGTCCTACATGTTGAAAACAAGAGTCTAACAGATGAGGACTGGAGACACATAATTTGCAAATAAATAAAGTGAAAAGACAGCTTACTCATTTATTCAATAAGTATTTACTGACCATATACTTTGTGCATGGCACTGTGTTTGATTCTGTAAGAAATAGAAACATAAATGGTGTCTGCCCTCCAGAGTATACACTCTAGTAGGAAAGATAGTTCTGTGTGTGTGTGTGTGCGTCCATGCGTGTGTGTGTGTGTGTGTGTGTGTGTGTGTGTGAGCGCGCACTCGCGCATAGCTAATCCTCTAATGGCAGGAAGGCATTCTGTGGATCATACAGGAAGACTATCCGACACCACAGCTAGGAATGAGCTGTAGATAATTTAGGCTCTATCACTGGCTGGACCTGTGATCTTGAGCAAGTTACTTGCTATTGTGAGCCTCAGTTTTCTCGCATAACAATATCTGCTGACATAACAATATCTGCTTTTAGAATCTGTTTTCAAGATCAGGGTAATATAGCTAAGGCACTTAGCACAATGCCTGACTCTAATTAACCACATGACAATGGATATGACTTGAAAAGGAGGGAGAACTCACTATAAGTAGAGGTGATCAACAAAATCTTCACAAAGAATGGAGGTGGGGTAAAAGCTGAACCCTGAAAGGCGGGTCAGGATTTAAAGATGAGGAAAGGGAAATTGGAAAAGAATGTGAGGAGAGGTGTCTTCTTGCAAGATGGAAATGTCATTAGCAAAAGACAGAAGTTGGAAAGGCAGGTTGCATATTCCATAAGTAGACATGTCTGAATAGCAGAGAGAGTCCTAATGGGAATTGAAAGATATGTGTTGGCATTTGGCTACAGAGAGGCTGGAATGCCTGCCCAGGGGCCTCAGAGAGCATTAGGAATCACAGGAGTATAGATCATCTTGCCTCACTCTCTATTTTACAAGTAAGGAAACTGAGACTCAGAAAACTTGCCCAAGGCCTTGTGGGTAGTAAGCTTCTCAGATGGCAGTTTTATGTTATTTCCACTGTGTAGTGGTTTTCTATTGAGATGCTTTGGAACTCAAGTTTCCATTGAGAGGCCTCAGCAGCCATCATATGGCAAGAGGAAAGGAAACTAGAATGTGCCCAGGACTGACCACCTGCATGCACAGGGGTGATTGCATGGCATTTCACTTAGATTGCTCAGAAGACTCTACTCATGAGAGAGAGAGGGGGGTGGGAGAAGAAATCTCTGCTTTTTTATAGCCTGTTATTTATTTTATTTTACTTTATTTTATTTTATTTTATTTTATTTTATTTTATTTTATTTTATTTTATTTTATTTGGTAGAATAGAGCCTGTAAAGTTTTTCAAGTAGTAATGTAACACAAGTAAAGCTGTGCTTTAACATATGGACTGGCTATTCTTGTAATTGGTAAAAATAAGAGATCCTGGCAATTCAGTGTGAGTGGAAGTCAAGTTCTACCAGAACCTCATGGAAAATACTGCATTTCACCATGGTTCTGTTTAAAACCTACATGCTCTTTATGACACCCTCCAACTAGCAGTTACTTTATAAATAAACATCTAGTTGATGTAAGAGAGAGTGATGATTATTCCGGACACTAAGAAGACATGTGACTTTTCTAGTTTCAAGTCTGGACTCCCAGGTTCCTTAATGCCCTTGACATGTTTTGCTTAAGTTTTAAGAGTTTCCAGGTTTCTTTCCTGTCCTGGCCAATGTTCATTTCGACCTCAGAGGGGAAAGTAACAGGAGAGGGGACAGAAGAGGAAAATGTCTATGTAACAGGTCAGAGATGACAAAAGATGATTTCAATGATTACTCACCCAGCAAACTTGCAGGATTCAAGAGTCTCAATAATCAGTTGCCTTCTCCAAAACCACCTGTCAGGGACTAGTTTACATTATAGCTGCATAGCAAGGCTTTAATCCCCAGAGGACAACCTTACAAGGAATCCAATAAACTTATCACTTACTTTATGTTGTTGGGTTTTACAGACCAGGAATCAGTGTGTGTGTGTGTGTGTGTGTGTGTGTGTGTGTGTGTGTGTTATATGTGTGTGGGGGGGGGGGAGATGCTATTATTTCATTTAACCCTCAGAATAGCCCTGGGAGGAGACACTTCACTCACTTTATAGGTGAGGAAACTAACTCACCTGTAACTTGCCAGAAATCCTGTAAATAACACACGATAAAGCTGTTTCAAACTAGGTCTACACTACTAAAAAAATTGCATTTCTAGGGAGTAAGAAAGCACAATCTCGGACTCTAGAATATTCAGATGGCTTGTTGGAATGAAAGTGTTGCCACCAGTTTATTTTATGTCAACAGCTGATAGCAGTGTTTTTAAAAATCCTATATAATAAAGAGCTAATATGCTAATTAGACCAAACAGCGGAACAACCTTCTAGAACAACCTTGTGGAACGACCAGTGGCTGGGCAGCCAGGCCTGCGAAGGCCTATTCTTGCACTAGTTTCGTGCATACATCCTCTAGTAAGGTTAGAAAAGCAAGTGGCAAAAGGCCAGGCCTTTATCTTTATAGAGTCAAATTCATGTGACTCATACTCTAAGAAATGCTACCTCCATCTGAGGCTACTTGGCTCATTCCTCAAGAAGTAACTGCTCTCTTTCTGCTCCTTTTCAGCTTTTTGTGAGGGAACCTGAACAGAGGCTGGGAGTGAGGGGAGACATCCGCCAGCACCCTTTGTTTCGGGAGATCAATTGGGAAGAGCTCGAAAGAAAGGAGATTGACCCACCATTCAGGCCTAAAGTGGTAAGGAGACACCAGGGATGGGACCAGCCATTCTCCTGCTACTCCCAAGCTGCCTGCTGTCCCCTTGAGGGTGGGAGGGGCCTAACTCTCAGTTATGCTCCTATATATAAGGGTGACTTTTGATAATCTTAGAAAGCTGAATTGTACATCATAAGTGTTTATTATTACATTGTCTTTTTTATGGGCACCAAATGGACCAGGTGGCTTGAGGAGAACATGTCCCAATCTGGGTTGTCTTGGAAGATAGTCCAAGATGTTTAATAATAAAATTAACATAGGTGGGAGAACCAATAGCAGGGAAGGAAGTTGATAAAAGAACAGGAATAGATAATCTGAAAAATTCCTTCCTTCTCCCACCTTTCACCAAGCCCCAGCTCCTGCCCCTATCCACTATTCCCTGTAGACTAAAATGACAGAGGTCAAATTTGAGCTCACCTTTTTTTCAAAGTTGGCCGATTCTGCCTCATGTAAACTATTAGCTAGAAACATTAGATCCTATTTGAATGTTTACTATGCAAATCCTTTATATGAATTTAATTATACTATTATTAAATTGATGAGTCAAGATATTAGAGGTGTTCCACAAAAACCACATATGATCATCTGTATTATTTCAGTTTAGTTTATCTGCTAATACCAATGCTGTCATACACAGATTTTAGCCTTGATAACAAAAGTAAAGATAATTAATTTAGTGGCTGATTTTCTTCCCTTTCTTCCCCCCTCTTCCTCCTTAAACTCTGATCAAGAAATCACCATATGACTGCAGCAATTTCGACAAGGAATTCTTAAATGAGAAACCCAGGCTGTCATTTGCCGACAGAACACTGATCAACAGTATGGACCAGAACATGTTCAGAAACTTTTCTTTCATTAACCCAGGGATGGAGATGCTAATATCCTGAATCCCCTCTTCAGTCACACGAAGGAATTGGCCTTTTCTCTGTGAATTGGTTCGAGTGACACTTCTTGGGTTCCTTTTCAACTTGGGAAAGAAAAGAAACACTCAACAATAAAGGCTGAGGACTTGGGCTCCTCACTGACTTTGCATCTGTAGCACAAACCAACTCAACTTCACTAATGACACCACCTTTGGTTCCTCTCATCTTTCACAGCTATTCTTGAAGTTAGGTCATGACTAACCATAGTTATTTACTTGAAAGATGGTTCTTCTCACTGTGAAAGATGTGGAAACTTAATTCTGCTCTAAATGATGGCTCTTCGTTGTGCACAAACTGCTGATCAATGAAATACTTGATGACTCAAGGAGCAGAGTGAGAACAAATGTCTCAAGACTGAAACAGTATGTTGCCTGGTGTAGTAATGGATTTCATTCAGCTGCAGACAAGTAATCACTAACTCGTTTTATCCTATGTACATCTGTGGAAGTGTGAGTAGTAGGGGGTGGGGAGAAGCCCTGAATAAGTTTTTAAGGGAATCCTTCAAAATAAACATAGCTTGTAACTTGAGATTTTCAAATCCATCATTCTAATTAGCCATGAAATACACAGAAAAATGGAAAGTGGGAAGAGCTCATATCACTGATATGGAAGGTTTTAACAGAATGCCTACTCTGGTAATCTTGTCAATATAGATATTAAATTTAGAGTCCAACAAAAATAGAATCATGGTATTCCTTTCAATAAAACCTTTCCATCCGTCCATTCTTAGTTGATTTCACTCATTGCCATCCTCACAGTTATTATAACAAGTGAAGAGATGAAGTATATAATTCTTCCAAGAGAAAAAAAGCAGTCCCTTATACCAATTGATGATTCATAAGTCTCTCTTTAGGCATCACTGAAGAGACACATGCATGCTAATTGTAGCAGTCAGTCTTATTAAATTACAATACTAGCTATACATTTTTAAGTATCTGTGCTGTTTGTATATTTTGATAAAATGTTGTGACTTAATGACAAAGAAGTGGATATGTAAACATGGAATAAAAGAAAGAAAGAAAGAAAGAAAGAAAGAAAGAAAGAAAGAAAGAAAGAAAGAAAGAAAGAAAGAAAGAAAGAAAGAAAGAAAGAAAGATGCCTCTTAATAGTTTTTCTAGTGCCCCCACAAGAACTTGGTTCTGTCATGGCTATCATAAAGATATAGCTAGAATTGAGTTGATATTTTAAATTTGGGGAATCAATAGAAATCCCAAAGTGGGGAAGAAACTCAGATAACCCTTAAGCCATTGGTATTTTGTTCCTTTTCCCCTTCACCACAAGATTCCTTGAAGGGGTGGTAAACACAGTTGCCTCTTCTCTCGAACTTCTCTCTCCTGCCACTGCTTTCTAGAAGGATTACCTTCTTGTCAGCCCTTATGGAGTGTGCTAGGTCCTCCTCAACCTTTCTACAGTGTGTTACAACAGAAAAAAGCCTCTCTTTTATCTCAACCCCTCGGACACTCTGACACAGCACATTCCTCTTCCATCCCCGTTACCTTTGATTACCTCGTTGACAAGCCCCTTTTCCTCCTTCTGCCCCAAATCACTCCCAATGCCTCCTTCCCTTCTTGCCTTCACTTCCCTTGGTTCTCTCCTTGCACCTCCTGTCTTAAGGCTCACTCAATCCAATTAATCTTAAAGTTCACATCTCCGGCTCTAACCTCTCTGCCAGGCTTCAAATAGGCTCCATGAACTATTTCATGTTCTTACAACCTTTATCCCTAATGCATTTCCTATTTCTGTTAATGGCATCATCACAGGCCCAGTCATCCAGGCTCAGAACCTCAGTCTTTACTGACTAGTTGACTGTCCTCTCTCATTTTTTTTTTTAATGAAATTATCATGATTCTGCTTCTGCAATCTCTCCAAAGTACATTACTCATCTCTACTTTCTTTCCTATTAACCATGCTTGGATCAATCTTCCCATCTTAAGTCTCTCTCTCTCTTCATTTTAACTCACATACACAGCCTATATTACAAACGTTAAGGTTAAAGTAACTTTTCCTTTACTCACTTATATTAAGTTCCTGGAGCTTGCAAATTAAACTGACAAAAGACATATCAGCAAAAGAGGCATGATGTTATTTACTCATCCAGTGCACATACAAGTGGGAGTGCTCAGGGATGAGTCACTCAATGGACTGGTTAGAATTGAGGGCTAAAATACCTAACTTAGCATGAAAAAGGGGAAAAGAAGAAATACTCCTATAGGAAGAACAAATATGTTTCTTTAGGAAAGACAAATGGCATTTCAGAAGGTTAAACAGGAGATAAAGTTTTTGATAATGTTTGAATGGTCTTTTCATCTTCCTCAGGGCCACTCCCTCAGAGACAGGGTTTACAGGAAGTAGGTTTACTCTTGGTCTCACTCCTGTACATACTCACCGCAATGAAGGAACCCAAAGAAGGAATTTATGGTGGTCCTCGTTTCTCCAAAGTTTTGGCTTGTAGTCTGATAAGAAAAACCCCAAGAAGTCCTTTTTCTGTATATGTTTAATCTTAAATGTCTTTAGGTTAAAATACTAGTAATCATTATTTATGAAATATAGAAATGTTATCTTCACAAATCAGAGGTTTTATTCCATCACACTCATGTTCAAAATCCTGTGTAATCTTCACTGGCCATAACCCATTCTGTTCATCCCCAGACAACCTCTCCAACTTTATCTCATTTCTCCCTTTCACTCACCTGTGCTCCAGGCAATCTGAATTTCTTAGCACTGCCTGTCTATACCCATTGTTTCCCACCTCTGGGCCTCCCCAAGATGTTAGTTTTCCTGACTCTAATGCTCATCCCCATATGTTCAATATCTTCCTTTCTCTTGAGATCCAATTCAATTACCGGGTCTGTCTTGAGGCATCCCCCTCTCCTCGTTGTTCCCCCACCTGAGTTGGTGGATCTCCCTCTCAATTCTCTAAAGTCCCATCTTATTGCATTTCTCTGTGCTTTTCTTATGGCACTCACCATTTTCTATCCAGTTGTAAAAGAGTATGCTTTGCCTCTCTTCCTAGGCTATAAGCCTCTGTACAATCCATCTTCATACTTCCCACAACTCCTCTGTATATTAGTGCTTAAGAGAATTTAGGGAAAATAAGTCAATAAATGAGTACACTGTGTAGTGTTTAAATGTAGTCCCTCACAAGATATATGTCCACCAGGCACCTGTGAATGGGACCTTATTTGGAAAAAGGGTCTGTGCAGATGTCATAAAGTTAGAGTCGATCCTAAAGATAGTCTGAATAAAAACAATTCTAATATTCTATATAAAGGCCCTACTCTTGTGCTTCCTTCTAAAACCACTGTAATAAGAGACGAGAAAACCATTCAGTCAGCCTGCTATTCATTAGACAATTTTTTACTCTCCAATCAGAAAATTACTCAATAAATATTTAATGTGCACCTACTGCTACATACCAGAAGTACCTGGCTTGTCTTTAGGATCTCCCAAAGAACTCTGCAAATTTTCCTCTCTCCTCCCTAGTCTACATAAGAGGAGTCTACTCAAAACACCAGCCAAAATTTGACAAAACTTTGGCTGGTGTTTTGAGTAGACAAAAATATGATTTTATTCACATATTTCTCCCACACACACCAAAAACTTTTTTCTTAAGTTATATCATTGCTCTTTGAGCAGGTCCTTGGAACTTCTTTAGGGTTAATCTTGCTGTTTCCATTTACTGTCTTCAAGGCAAGGTAATGGATTTGTCTGAGTCGGTATCAGCTGGTCTTGTCCTAGTGACAACCTCCCACTGCACACAGAGAGCTTGGCCTTCAGGGGACAGTAAGCAAACCAATAGACTGGTTTGTAACAGAAGAGAAAAAATAGAAAAGTCCATTAGAGCCAGCTTTCCAGTGCTGCAAATATTTGGATAAAGAGTTTGAATTTCATTCCATAGTTACAATGGAGCCACTGAAACTATGCCAATAAAACACAACAATGAGAATTCCAAACAAGAGGAACCCAAAGAGGACCACACCAAGACATGTCATAATTAAAATGCCAAGGGCAAAAGACAAAGACAGAATCTTAAAAGCAGCAAGAGAAAAGCAGTTAGTTACCTACAAGGGAGTGCTCATACAACTATCAGCTGATTTCTCAACAGAAACTATGCAGGCCAGAAGGGAGTGGCAAGAAATATTCAAAGTTATGAATAGCAAGAACCTACAACCAATATTACTCTACTCAGCAAAGCTATCATTCAGAATTGAAGGTCAGATAAAGAGCTTCACAGACAAGAAAAAGATAAAGGAGTTTATTATCACCAAGCTAGTACTATATGAAATGCTGAAAGGTATTCTTGAAGAAGAAGGAGGAGAAGAAGAAGAAGGAGGAGGAGGAGGAGGAGAAGAAGAAGAAGAAGAAGAAGAAGAAGAAGAAGAAGAAGAAGAGGAGGAGGAGGAGGAAGAAGAAGGAGAAAAGGTAACAAAAAATATGAACAGCAAAGTGGCAATAAATACATATCTATCAACAATTGAATCTAAAAATCAAATGAATAAAAATTCTGATGAACAAAATAAACTAGTGAATGGAATAGAATCAGGAGCATGGAAATGGGCAGATTGATAATTCTCGTAGGGAAGGGGATGGGGGAGGGTGCAGGAAGAGATTAGACAAAGATCTTATATGCATGTATGCATTACCTATGTACACAGAAAATAGGGTGTCAAGGGTCTGGGCTGGGGTGGGAATCAGATGGAGGAGGGCTATGGGGGGAAAAAGAGGGATCTCTGTAATAATTTCAACAATAAAGATTTGGAGGTTTTTTGTTTGTTTGTTTGTTTTTTATATATTTTATTGATATTTTTACAGAGAGGAGGAAGGGAGAGAGATAGAGAGCTAGAAACATCGATGAGAGAGAAACATCAAGCTGACTCTTGCACACCCCCTACCGGGGATATGCCTGCAACCAATGTACATGCCCTTGACCGGAATCGAACCTGGGACCTTTCAGTCCACAGACTGATGCTCTACCACTTAGCCAAACCGGTTTTGGCTAAAGATTTGGGGTTTTTTTGTTTTTTTGTTTTTTTAAATCAATATTTATTGTTCATATTATTACAAAGGTTCCTCATTTCTTCCCCCCTTTACCAGGTTCCCGCTCCACCCTCCACCCCCTCCCCATCCCCCATTGTCCTCATCCATAGGTGCACAGTTTATGTTCAGTCTCTTCCTCCCTCTCTTTCCCCAATAGTAAATCCCTTTTCAGATAGTAAATCAGTTACTTAGCATTTTCTCATATCAATAATACCTCCACATGCCCAATGATACACTTCACACAAAAGACATTTTCAAATAGGTCAACCAGCCTCATCCAGGCCCCACCCAAGGCACTCACAGATCAACACCCCAGCGCTATACTAACTCAACACATCCAGATCTAAGCCTTCATCACTTGATTCAGCAGACCCTCAAGTTCCCGCAAAAATTTCCAGCCAAGTCTGAGAGGCAGCCGTGGGTCAGGGGCAGGCGAGGAGCGAGCTGTTCCGGGCCTGGCTGCTCTGGGCCTGGCCTCTGTTGCTCTGGTTCGTTCCACAACCAGCTGCTCCGGGTCTGGTCACTGCCGCTCCCAACCTAGTTGCTCTGTACTTGGCTGCTGCTGCTCTGGGCCTGGCCGCTCCCAGCCTGGCAGCTGCTGCTTCGGGCCTGGCCGCACCCGACCCGGCTGCTTAAAGATTTGTTTTTAAAAAATCATAACAAAAATCTCAAAGCTTAAGCACCAGAGGTGTAAATGAAAAAAATAATAATAATAAAAATAAGTTTTCTGCCCACCTGTAACCAAATTTTCTGGAGGGAAGATCTACTCAGATTTTTTTACATATAGGATCATTCATTAGAGGAGGACATTAGCAATGAGATATCACCTCACACCTGTTAAAATGGCTATTATCAAAAACTCAAGAAATAAGTGTTGGCAAGGATGTTGAGAAAAAAAGGAACCCTTGCACTTTGGTGGGCAAGTAAACTGATACAGCTATTATGGAAAACAGTATGGAGGTTCCTCAAAAAATTAAAAACAGAACTACTATTATATTATATATAATCCAATAACCCCACTTCTGGGTATTTATCCAAAAAAAATCTAAAACACTCATTTGAAATGCATCCTTATGCTCACTACAGCATTACTCACAATGGCTTAGATATGGAAACAACCTAAATGCCCATAAATGGATGAATGGATAAAGAAAATATTAATATGCAAATAGATCGAATGGTGGAACAACCAAACAACCAATCACTATGACATGCGCTGACCACCAGAGGACATGCACAGAACATGGTGGGCATCTGCTGCAACAGGATGGTGGAGCAGGTGAGCAGGGGCACCAGACCAAGGTGGCGTACCAGTCATTGTCATCAAGTCAAGCCTCTGGTGGTTACTGAAAATTCTTTGTTCCTGCACGCCACAGTGGCACCAGGTGCTCACGCTTCTGCCGGTGCTGGCCCCGCTTGTACCTGCAGCCGGTGCTGAAGCCACTCCTCGCACCCACTGTTAGCACCCAGCGCCAGTCCCAATAGCTAGGCGCCGTCAGCAAATGCAAGCAGTGGCTGCCAGCCCTGATGGCCCCTGAGGGCTTCTCCACCTCCCCCTGCTCCTGAGGGATGATCAGGGCAATAGCCACTGCTCGAACATGCTGACAGCACCAGCCACATTTGCACCCACTGCTGGTGCCAGCCCCAATGGCTTGGCGCCATGACCACATGCAAGCAGGGCCTGTGCATGTAGGAGCAGCAGCAGTAGGAGTGGGGCTTCCAGCAGGCAGGGGACAGGGGGTGACAGTGGGAGGGGCCAGGCAGAGGCACAGAGGATGGGTCGAGACCTGCCCCTGTGCCCACCGCAGCCTCACAGCCCACAGTTCCTTTCAATGTGCACGAATTCGTGCACTGGGCCCCTAGTGTGTGTGTGCATGTGTGTGTGTGTGTGTGTGTGTGTGTGTGTGTGTGTGTGTGTTTGCAACAACATGGAATGAACCTGGAACATTATGCTAAAGATGAATACTATATGATCTCACTTATATGTGGAATCTAAGATAATCACACTCCTATAAGAAGACAGTAGAATGTTGGTTGCCAATGACTCAGTGGAGAAGAAAATGAGTAGATACTGGTCAAGAGTACAAAGTTGCAGTTATACAAAATGAATAAGCTCTGGGGACATAATATACAGTATAGTGCCTACAATTAACAGTACTGTATTATACACTTGAAATTGGCTGAGAGTAGATCTTAAATATTCTCACCACAAAGAAAAAGATAATATGTGAAGGAATAGATTCATTAGTTTAATTTGGTAAAAATCTCATAATGTATATACACAGATCAAAACATCAAGTTATACCTGGTCGGGTGGCTCAGTCGTCCCATGCACCAAAAGGTTGCAGGTTAATCAGGGCAAATACCTAGGTTGTGGGTTCAACACCTCAATTCCTCTCAGAGCCTGTATAGTAGGCAACCCA